ATCCTCCATCCGCATTCAGCTTATCCCCTAAGTAAACAAAGCTTTCCACTCTTTCAATACCACCACTCAACCCCGTCCTTGCGTCCGTCCTATTAATCACACCATGAACACATTTCTTACATTTGAACGTGCCTTCCACCTTTTTCAGTGCCCCCCTCACACCACTACATCTCTTATGCACCAATTTCTGACATCCTATACACAATACCGAGTTAGCCTTCACTCTCCTGTCACATACCCCACAGGGGTCTATTTTACTTATCACTCGCTCCCCACCTTCCCCACTCACCATTACCTTCGTCTTACCAATATTAACTTTTAACCCTTTCTTTTCAATAACACTTTTCCATCTGTCAAATTTTAACTGCAATTCTTCCATGCTATCAGCCATCAAGACTAAATCAATCATCTGCATACAAAATCTCAAATAACAACCCCTCCATTATGTTTCCACAAACAACATCCATCACAATTGCAAACAGAAACGGTGATAACACTGATCCTTGATGTACTCCTACCTTAACACTAAAAGCGTCCGACATCCCCCTTCTAACCCTCACCTTTGTCTTTGCCCCTTCATACAGCTGCATCACAGCTTTAACAAGTCTCTCATTCACTCCTTTCTTCCTCAACGCCCATTCAATGACCTTCCTCGGTACTCGATCAAAAGCCTTTTCTAGATCCACAAAACACATGTACAATCTTCGTTTCTTCTTTCTATAATTCTCCTGCAACATTCTCACCATGAACAACGCATCCACCGTTCTCCTACCAGGCATAAACCCACACTGCATTTCATTAACTGTCACGATATTTTTCAACCTCCTCTCAAGCACCCTCTCCACTACCTTTATTCCGTGCTCTAGCAATTTCACACCCCTATATGACCCACAATCTCTCACATCTCCTTTGCCCTTATACAACGGCACCAACACACTGTGTCGCCAATCCTCAGGTATACCTTCATCATCAAACATCATTAAATGTTCTTACCTCTATGAAATAATGGAGATAGGATTGTACATAGCAACAAGAACAACAACAAGAGCAACAAGAACAACAACAAGAGCAACAACAACAACAAGAGCATCATCAACAACAGTAACAACAACAAAAACAAGAACAACTACAGACATTTTTTTCATTGTTCATGTTGTTGTTGTTGTTGATCATATGTTGATGTCCTGATATAGCCAGAGATCTTTCTCGTAGCCCTCGTGCACGTGGTCCAGCAAGACCTTGCGACGACTCTCACAATACCTGTTTGTGTTTGTGTATGTGTTAGTGTACGTTGTGTTTGTGTCAGTGTACGTTCGTGTGTGTGTCTTTCTCTCTCTCTTTCTCTCTCTATCTTTCTCTTTGTGTGTGGTGTGGTGTGTGTGTGTGTGGAATTCACCTTCTTCAAATATTGCTATCATTGTTTTTTAACCAATTACCCAAATTACCAAACCAATCAACCATTCGACCAGCCAGTCAGCCAACTAACCAGCCAATCAACCAACCAGCCAATCAACCAACCAACCAACCAACAAACTAAAAAGCCAACCCACCGACCGATATTTATCTTGAACTTTCTGCTTGATGTCCACAAGAATCTCTGACGTTATATCTCTCTCTAGATACTCAGACAACTGCTCCGTCGCATTTTCAAGATCTTTCTGGTTGTCCTGCCATCATCGTCGTCGCCATTAATGACGTCATCATCGTTAATGACGTCATCAGTATTGTTTAATCGTAATTCTCACCAGTGTTGTTTAATCGTAATACTCACGCCATCCATCGCCGACGTAATCGTTATCATCAAATAAAGCAACAACAACAACAACAACACACACACACAGAAACAACAACAATATAAATCAACAACAACACCTAAACAAACACACACAACAACACAAATCAACAACAACACACAACAACACACAACAACAGAAACGCAAGACTGAACCTCGAAGATTATTGATTGGTTGTTCTTTCTGAGATAGAAAGCGAAGACGTAAGTATACATTAGGGTCTGTCTGCACTGACACAGGACATCAACTGCCTGATTGGTCGGTTGATTGGTTGGTTGATTAGTTGGTAGGTTGGTTGGCTGGTTGATTGTTTGG